ACTTACGACAAATGAGTAAACGTAACACAGCAAAACACAAAGGCTGACTGTCAAGCAATGAACAGTTTGTTTTAAGCTTTTTTAAGAGCTGTATTGTTAATCAACACTAAATTCAGTAGAGGCGGGCAGCCCATTTTCGTAAACACAATGCTTTGTCCCTAGCACAAGCAACTATAAATGACGTGTATAAACTGTTAAAGTACAAAATTTCAAAAGGACGATTAAAGTGTTCTTTCTTGAATGATCTAACGTAAGATCTTACTTCTTAACCAGATTTTGCATCATGGTCATCAATGCCTGTGAAATCTGCACTTGCTGCTCTGTTTGCTTCCGTAGCAGTTCAATCTGTAGCTCTTGTTGTCTGGCCCTTACTTCCTACTCCTTTCGTTGCAGCTCTAGCTCCTGTTGGCGAATGGAATACTCACTTTGAGCTTTTTCTTTCAAGAATTCAACCGCATCACCTCCGCTTCTTCGGCTCTTTTTGGCGCTGCCTCCAGCAGATTCGTTTGATTTTTTTTTCGAGGCCATGCGTTCCATGGCTTTCTTTCTGATTTCTTCAGCTGCCTCTTTATCATCTGACTTTTTCTTGTCTTTGGCGGAAAAGCTATACTCTTTCTCACATAACTCTTCTATTAGGGCATCTTTCTCAGATAACTCACAATCAATGCCACTGGCTTGTAGCTCTTCTCGTTGCGTGCGTTTAAACTTGGCCTGAAGCAGATTCTATCGGTCTCTGACTCCCCTCTTCTCCTTTATCATAAATTTTGGATTATCGAGCTTGTTCAGTCTTTCCTGGATTGACTCCCAGCTTTTGCCACGGTCTGGACTGCCTTTCTTGAACTGAAACAATTCGCTGGCAATCATTTCACGCAACAGAAGAATGTCATGGTCATCTGTCCATTCCATTACAGGTTGTTTTTTGGTAGCCATCTTCACGCAAGAGCCTAAAAAGTTAAAAAAAAAAAGACCTGTAATAGTTGACAATCGCTCGTACAAGCGCCAAAACGACAGAATAATATTTAACGTGTCACTAAGTGCAAAACATCGCAGGCAAAATGATATAAAAGCACGAAAATCATAAAAGTGAAACTCACGTTTTACAGGCGACGTCAAAATAAGCAAAACAAAGTCGGCGCAGAGTCGCGACGGTGGACTCTGTCGGCGGGAAACGTGTATCGGAAGTAAATTTGACTTCCGGTTGCCGTCGCCCCGTAGAAAACGTCAGGTGCTTAAGTTCCCTAATCTCGGCTGGCTGCGCGCCAAATTGGCACCAATTTCCTGACCAACAACTCAAAGGAAGAAAATCACCGTCACGCATAATATGGGGAAATGGAAACGTCCATAGAACTCTGTAAATAGTCCATTTTACAGTTTCGTGCTTTGAACAGGAGTGAGGCTAAGGGTGACCTTGTTAAACCTAGCTGCTTTTCAAATGTAAATTACTTTGTTCTCATGCTAACTAGATTCTGGTCTCTATTTCAACACGGTCAGCTATTACCTCACAATAAATTAGAGGCTTGACAGCTGAGTACACAACTATAAAATGGCCTATTGAAACAAAAGTATGGAAAACGAAAGCTTGAGAGTTTTTTTCGCAAGCCTGTTTGCTAACGGATATCCTGATAATTAACCATTTTGTTTTGAGCTTTTATCAAAAAAAGCATACGCGTTTAAAAAAGCGTGACTTCCTAGTTTGATTATAATTCCTGCTAGACAATTTAATTTGGTTTTTGGCCTGAGAGCACTCCAGCTAGCCACCACAAGATTCGCACATGCGTAAACGTTTAAACGCTATGTCTGCTGTTTCCTTGAATGCCGTTAGGGGAAGAGCGCGGGATCATTTCTCGAGCAACGCTGGCGTTCGAGACTTTGAGTAATATTGAACTTTTATTGCATGATAAAGCACTTCGCACGTATAAAAAAGTGGCTATCATGTGGAGGGAGGGAGGTAGGGAGGGAGGGAAGGGAGGGAGGGAGGGGAGGGAGGGAAGGGAAGGAGGGAGGGAGGGGAAAGGGAGGGAAGGGAAGGAGGGAGGGAGGGGGAGGAGGGAGGGAAGAGAGGGAGGGAGGGGGAGAGGAGGAGGGAGGGAAGGGAGGGAAGGGAAGGAGGGAGAGGAGGGAGGAAGGGAGGGAAGGGAGGGAGGGAGGGAGGGAGGGAGGGAAGGGAGGGAGGGAAGGGAGGGGAGGGAGGGTAGAGAGGAAGGGAAGGGAGGGAGGGAGGGAAGGGAGGGAAGGGAGGGAGGGTCGAGTTAGGAAAGTAAACACGGTGCAAGTGATTTTAGATTTTCAGTCAAATGAATTCACATCGCAGTTTCAAGCAAGATCTGACAGACGCTTTCACAGTCTTGTGTCAGCTGCACATGGCTTTTTAATGTGAAACTACTCCTGAATCTATGGAAGTAACAGATCTTAGCGACAAAGGGCATATTTATAAAGTCTCAAATACACGATACAACCCTCAGCCTTCATTTACACTGGCCGAGCTAACTATTCACTCAAATCTTTCTTTATAAGAAAATGGTAAACTCTTCCCTGTGATATCTGTAGTTCTCAGGTTTTGGTTAAAAGGCTGTAGGTTTCCGTTGTTAAAAGATAGTGTAATTATATCAGACGGGGTAAAAGTACTTTCTTCGATACCGCTTAATTCGTTGACCAATATCTCTCGATACAGCGTTTTTCGATCGAGTGTCCTAGAACAAAAACCAGAGTTATCACAAAGATCTATCAGAAGAGGTGAAAATACCCTAAGGAACCAAAGAGAACTTATACTAAAACCAAGCAACTAACTGCCCAAAGCGCTGACAAGCGCGGGTAACTAAGTTTTAGTTTTGCATCTATATGATGGAGGGCGTAGCGAAGGGTTTTTGGACTAATTACACTACGAAGTAAAACAAATCCGTAGCAATCTCGTACTTCTCTCGACACAAATTGAAAATGGTGTTCCATTTGCTATCGGTTATTTGGAGTTCACTTTTGTACAAGCGTTTGGTTCGCTACTTCCCGGTAGAGCCTGCTATAAACGGCCCTTCAAACAAGTTCTGCTGTGTCTCCAGTATTACAAGCCATCTCAAGTTCTTCTTCTATAGCGGCGAAATGCTCCTGATTCCTTTCGCTTGTTATTTCCCTGGTCGGAAAGGGCATTGCATAAAATAGGTTTTGCCAGAACCATTTGCTTTTCACCGTTAGATAGGTGTTAGAGCGCAGGTAATTCTGTATCTCTTTATCCAACTGGTTGGTGTCCACATCTTCTAACAGTATCAAAATCAGGTACTTCATGCGATCCTCGATCACTTTGCGATGAGCGGCACGAAACTCCATCAAACACCAATCACTTGTAGCATAGCTCGAAGAAAGCACCACTAGCATACGCTTGCTTTGATCAAGACTTTTCAATATATTTTCGTCAATTGGAACTCCAGGCTCAAAGTCGCGGTGGTGAATGCACAGTTTGTAAGGAGGATCGTGTGTTTCAAGACGTCTCTGTAATTTGTTTACGACCCAGTCGGCATCATTGCCACTGAACGATAGAAAAGCGTCGTATATTCTGTTTGGATCCGAGTCATCTATACGATCAAACGGGTGCCAGTTAAAGTGGGTGAACATAAAGACCTTGACTTCTCCATTGTACTTGTATATTAAGACAGCGACAATCATTACTAAGGCTAGGAGCGCACCGAGAATACATGCGGCTATGATTCCTGCATTCTTTTCTTTAAGCTGAGGAGGGCAGATGAACTGGTCGTCTGGTAAACTGTACATTGGTTTCCCATGAACATACTCAGAGTTACAAAGAACTCTTTCAATGTTCTTTATCCGATTCCTTTCCTTCACTAGCCAGTCTTTCATCCACTTGGATGTGCAGTCGCATTTGAATAAGTTTCCATCCAATGCTAACGTTGTGAAATTAAGAGTCTTAATTTCCCTCGGTAAAGTTGTCAGTTGGTTAGCATCAAGAAGCAAAATCTCGATATTCTCGAGTCTCTCCACTGTGGAAGCCGTCAGCGACTTAATTTGGTTATTGGTCAGTCTTAATATGGTAACATTAACCATGTAAGGATAAGCTGGAACACTCTGAATAGTATTGGCTTCTAGGTTAAGCTCCACCAGACCCTGTGGCACCTCTCTTGGTACTTCGGTAAGATTCCTCCTTTCGCAATCAACAGTCATTCTTCCATCTGAGCAGCGTTCCAGGCAAATGCACTGGACTGGACATTTGGTATTGCCTTTTTCTTCTCTCACCATCCACTGATTTTCTTCAATCTCTAGTATCATTCTGTTTTTCAATCTTTGTGGCCAATGACATTTCCAGGTTGAAAACCTGGATCGAATGTAAGGACGGCTCTGCACCAATTTCTTTACTTCTTGCGCCACAGCAGACATAATGCAATCACAAGCCAGCGGATTTCCACTCAGTTTGATCAAATACGATTTCCAAAGGTAAAGATACTTGGCTTGATAGATTGGATTACTTTTTTCGTCCCGTTTAATCATTTCTAAACCATCGGAATCTATTAGCGTGGTAATGTTATTACCCGACAAATCAAGTTCTCTGAGCTGTTTTGTTTCACCCTCGACCGGTACAATTAAACTGTCTAGTGCCTTGTCAAGATCCTGAAATTTTAATCCGTTAGAAGAGAGGTTGATAAGCCTTATGTCCGGCAGAAGAAATATCCACGAAGGGATGCTGGAAAGTCTGTTGTTGTCGAGGTACAGCACTTGCAAAGAGGCATTCTTTGAAAAAGGATTTTCTTCGATTTTTGTGATGTTGTTAGTTCCCATATCTAGGATTTCCAAGGAATCTAATGAGTTGAACAGTCCCTTTGGAATATAGTCCAGGTTATTTTGCCTAAGGTTAACAATCGTGACATTTTTCAGGTCTTTAAATAGTTTTTGTTCAATAATCTTCAACTTGTTCGAACGAAGATAGACTTGCCGTAATGAGGTCAGCCCTCGAAACAGATCTTGAGGTAAGGACACTAAATTATTTCTGCTGAGGTCAA